GCTGCATCGCCGGCGTCCTGGCCTGGCTCAGCCCCTGCGCGGAGCCCCCCGGGCCCTGCTCCCATCAATCCGCCTCCGCTGGCTCCTCATCCAGCCCAGACCCAGACAGAGAAAATGGCGCTCGATTTATCCCAGGAAGTGACGATTCTGCTAATTTGCATACCAGGCAACAGACCAATAGGGAGTGGGTTAGTCCAAGGCTTGCATCGCCGGCGTCCTGGCCTGGCTCAGCCCCTGCGCGGAGCCCCCCGGGCCCTGCTCCCATCAATCCGCCTCCGCTGGCTCCTCATCCAGCCCAGACCCAGACAGAGAAAATGGCGCTCGATTTATCCCAGGAAGTGACGATTCTGCTAATTTGCATACCAGGCAACAGACCAATAGGGAGTGGGTTAGTCCAAGGCTCCTATTGGCTCCCTCCATCAGATCCCTAGGGAGAGCCTGGGTTCTAAAGATGTAAGATGTTGGGGGTTGAACCCCCCAGGTGTCCCCTGACTCACCTGTTACCCCCCTTTACCTGCCCCTCCTGTTCTGGTCCTTCTGAGTGGGCACAAGGGGTGCCTAGAACCAGTTTTTGAGCTGATCATGTGACGTCATCCTGAAGAGGGCGGGGTCTGATTTCACTCCCATCAATAACACCACGTGGTCACTGAGCAGCCTGACTTCATTTGCATGGGATGTTGGGTGAAGCCTTATTTGCATCTGCAGGATTCTGAAGTGCCCACCCACATCCAGCAGCCAATAGGATTATGCCATGTCAAGTGACAGTGTTTCCCATTGGAGGAGAAAACTAGTGGTCCAAGCTCTGGAAGCAGCAAGTGTGTTGCCATACATGGCTTACATTCTGCCTGTACTTGTAATCAGGAACCCAAATATATGGTTCCTTAGGACAAGTCATTGGGCAAGTAATTCATAGTATGAAATCTTCTCCCCACACCTCCAAAAAAAACCCCACATGGATAAAATTGATTGGCTGAGCCCACTTCAATATAAAAAATCTGCAGCAAATTAAAGATTATTCTAAACTAATGGAAGACATTAAGAAATATGAGTAGAATTCAATGTAATGGAGATATCAAACTATGTAGTAATATAGTGATTAGAGGTCTATGACAACACAGACAGTGGATCTCTTATTGAGTAGTTCAACAGGACAGCAATCTGATTTTCAGCATCCTTACTTTTTGATAGTTGTATACTTAATCTTACCCATGTAGGTGATTTATCCTGCTTATATCCATGTATGCTCTTGAATCAGCTGTGATCTTCCCACAAGTCTAAGATCAAGCTTGCTGGATTTTTTAAAGAATATGTGACCTATAAGAAAAACATACCTTCTTCATAGATACTCAATATCTACCCTCCTCCCCCCACAAGAGCTATCCATTTATAAGATATAGACATAAATCTTATATAAGAATGGTCGTACTGGATCAGACCAAAGGTCCACCTAGCCCAGCAGCCTGTCTACCGACAGAGGCCAGCACCAGGTGCCCCAGAGGGGGTGGACCGAAGACAATGATCAAGCGATTTGTCTTCTGCCATCCATCTCCAGCCTCTGGGACACCAAACAGAGGCCAGGGACACCATTTCTATCCCCTGGCTAATAGCCTTTTATGGACCTAACCTCCATGAAATTATCTAGCTTCTCTTAAAACTCTGTTATAGTCTTAGCCTTCACAGCCTCCTCTGGCAAGGAGTTCCACAGATTGACTATGCGCTGTGTAAAGAAGAACTTTCTTTTATTAGTTTTAAACCTGCTACCCATTAATTTCATTTGGTGTCCTCTAGTTCTTCTATTATGGGAACTAATAATATAACTTTTGTTTATTCACCCTCTCCACACCATTCATGATTTTATATACCTTTATCATATCCCCCCCTCAGTCTCCTCTTTTCTAAACTGAAAAGTTCCAGTCACTTTAGCCTCTCTTCATATGGGACCCGTTCCAAACCCTTAATCATTTTAGTTGCCCTTTTCTGAACCCTTTCCAAGGCCAAAATATCTTTTTTGAGGTGAGGCGACCACATCTGTACACAGTATTCAAGATGTGGGCATACCATAGTTTTATGAGCAGTAAGATATTCTGTGTCTTACTTTCTATCCCTTTCTTAATAATTCCTAACATCCTATTTGCCTTTTTGACCACCGCTGCACACTGTGTGGAAGTTTTCAGAGAACTATCCACGATAACTCCAAGATCTCTTTCCTAATTTGTTGTAGCCAAATTAGCCCCCATCATATTGTATGTATAGTTGGGGTTATTTTTTCCAATGTGCATTACTTTACACATATCCACATTAAATTTCATTTGCCGTTTTGTTGACCAATCACTCAGTTTGGTGAGATCTTTTTGAAGTTCTTCACAGTCTGCTTCTGTCTTGACTATCTTAAACAGTTTAGTATCATCCGTAAACTTTACCACCTCACTGCTTACCCCTTTCTCCAGATCATTTATGAATAAGTTGAACAGAATTGGTCCCAGGACTGACCCTTGGGGGACACCACTAGTTACCCCTCTCCATTCTGAAAATTTATCATTTATCGCTTCCCTTTGTTTCTTGTCTTTTAACCAGTTCTCAATCCATGAAATGACCTTCCCACTTATCCCATGAAGACAATTATCTTTGAAGACAATATTATAATTTCCTGCTGTCACAAGAGATTTTTTTAAATACAGTTGAAACATAGAATTTAAACTGTCATCACCTATATTGCTAACATTGGAAATGACTTCCAGAGGTTTGAAAGGAATCTTACCACATACTTGGATACTCTGACTACTGATTTCTAGCAATGAAGACTAAAGTCTTGTCTACAATACCTCTTAAGTCAATGTAAATTACATCATGAAAAACCCACACCTTCAGCAACCTAACTTACATTGACTTACAGTGGTTATCTACACCACACTACGTTGGTGGGACATGCTCTCCTGCTAACATAGTTCAACCTCTCCTTGAGGTGCATTAATTACATCAACAGGGAAAGCATGCCTCTGTCGATGTAATGCATCTTCATCACATGAGCTAAATGGATGCCACTACATTTATTTCTATATCACTGATATAGCACAGTAGTGAAGATGAGCCCTAAATCTCAGTGAAACCAAGAGAATGCCAACTACTTTCCACCAAAACAATTATTTTGCCAATCAACCTATTTTGCTATTTTATCCAGTTATCACATATTTGGGAGTAAAACTCAACCTAGCCTGATATACCAGCTCCATCTGTAACATCCAACCTGTACTGCCTTGATATGAAAACATCAGGAACCTCCAGGGGAAGAGACTCTTCATTCATACATCTATCTTGGCCCTCATATTTGCTCCAGATGAATACTGCTCAGAGGCTAGAGGTGCAGCCATCACACTCAGCTTGTCCATAGCTAAACTCAGCCATTTTTATTATTAGGGGCTAACTGAAGTATACACTAACCTCCAGTCTGGATGTGCTAGCACACACAGCTCTGCCAGACCTTCAATGAGATGTTTTTACTGTTAAAGTTGCTTGGAGGGCTGTGACAGATGGCACTAGCTGATTACATCTCTGGTTGACATATGCCATATTCTCTGGTAGGAAACAATGCACAGTACCAACACTTTAAGTTCTGCTTATATTTGGGTGAGGAGTTCCACTCTTGTGGACCAGGTGTGACAGCATGGCTGATCTTTTGACACTCCTTTGCCATGGTAGCTCACGTACTTTT